CGTCGTACAAAACAATAATTGTGTTTCTTTTGTGTGCACATATGTATATAATACTTACTTAAAAAAGGTTCATACATTGAATGATTCATAAATGTATATTTACAATAGCGATGGTCTTTTATATTTTTACCAACTTGTCTATATATGAATGTTCTTAGTAATAACAAAATAGTATTCTTCATTTAATGGGTTACAATTGATACAAAACAATAATTGCATCGGTCTTTTTTCTATGTACGAATGTATTTAATCATAGATACTAAATTAGATTGCATTTGGTATCTTTGAACTTTATCTGTCTGTTGATGAAAATATCTAGTTTTTTGTTATTTGGCGAGAACTAATATGAATTTATGATAAGATTATTATTTTATTTTAACTATAAGTCATAAGTATCTCATGCATCATATCATCTCTCCTCGAGATCAAAACGATTACACAGTAACAATGTACTATGATATGTATTTCACTTGTAACTTTTTCAAAAGAAATGTAGGAACGATATTGACTTCTTTGCCATAACACATTATAATAAAAAAAAAAGACACTAAACGGCTACAAATAAAAAAAAATTTTACAAAATAAAAAAACCGCCTTCAAAAAAAGTCAAGCAATAAAAGTTCCTACACTAAAAAGTAAAAAATAACAATTTGAATTACTGTAAAAAAACTTAATTTATAGGTAAACTTATTTGACATTCATATTTTGCAAATATTCAAAATTTATTACTTATTTTTGGAGTCGGTGCCAGCCCATGCAAGGAAATACAAATGGGCAACAATCCCTTGAAAAACTACCTCTTACTTAATTATAAAACTACTTAATACCTATTTGCATACTCAAATATAGGTATATTAATTAAGACATAAATACAGATTAGACTTCTCTACAAAAAATGTCCGATTTGCACATTTTTTTAAATAAAAAATATGTACTTACAAAAACATTTTAAGTACATTGAAAATGTTTAAGCATTATGTACGAAAAATGGCACCGGATATTAAAAACCTAACTAACATTAAGTTTCAACATCAAAATGCTGGCACCGACTCCAAAAATAAGTAATAAATTTTGAATATTTGCAAAATATTAATGTCAAATAAGTTTACCTATAAATTAAGTTTTTTTACAGTAATTCAAATTGTTATTTTTTACTTTTTAGTGTAGGAACTTTTATTGCTTGACTTTTTTTGAAGGCGGTTTTTTTATTTTGTAAAATTTTTCAGTAAAAAACTCAAAACAAATAAAAATAAATCCTTAGTGATACAAAATGGTCATACTTGATAGACTAGACACAGGACAAACACTGGAAGTAAATAGAGCAGAGAACAAAGTTAGAACTAAATAAACTAGTTTGAAAGTCGATAGTGGACAACGCACACAACGCATAGACTGTGTATTTGCATTTTTATTGGAACCGTTTAAAGAAACAATGGACGGATCGGTTGAAACGCTTGCCGTTTGGGAAATTCAAATGTTCCTTTTTTTTCTTTTACACAGTACTCTGTATAAGCCTTTATCGATTGTATTCTTTTATAATCTGGGCTACTGGTGTTGTTTTTGAAACAATCCCTCTTCGTGGAAACAGAATATAAAGTCAATTAGCCCTCACATGCAGTGATCCGAATTGAATAAAGTGCTATGCTTAATCAACCTTGAACATAAGACAGTGGAGTAACTTAGCTAACTTGTATGGACAAATAGAAAACTTACACTATACTTATACGTATTTTAAGTGTAGAAGAGCAATGTTTTGGTGTGAATGACCTATCGGCACGACCGAGAGTGATAACACGGCCTCACAGAACATCGACGTGAGACGACGCTTTCGTTGTATTTCGCCTTGTAAGTGAGGTACTTACTGTACCGGGGGCCTTATCCCTCCCCTACCCCCTCCATCCTCAATCCCCAAATTCCTATCCTTAATCCCCAACAACCCACAAAAGGCCAGCAACACTGTTGTAGTAACTCCTTTGGTATTGCGAATGTTCATGGGCGGCAGCGACTGCTAATCACCAAGTAATCTGTCGGCTGGTTTGCCGACCTTAGGAATAAAAAAAAGTTGAACACATTACACATAACCGTATTATATTTGGTAAAAGTGTTTAATTTAATAATATAAAACTCCAATTAATATTTCAGTTGATAAATTGTTATAATAAATATTCACTCCATTTCTTTTTATTTATTTCATATTGAGGAGAGGTAAAATAACATTGTAATTACGGAATTGCCATTCCCAGACAAAAAATATGACGTCACGTAAGTAAAAATTCTCAATCTTCCGCATGGAACAGTGTACGAAAACCTTTGTTTGCCTGCTGTCGGCTTCAAACATGGTCTCTGAATGACTTTGAATGTTGCTGACAATGGCAAGCTCTCGACATGACGTGGAGCTTCCCACTCTTTTTGGCAGCACAATCCTTCAAAGGCGGATGAAATGAGAGCATCTTAATATCCACGTTTTAGTCTTATTTCGTGTGACATTAGCGAGCCCTCGACGAATGAACAAAGCTTTGGGTTATTCCGCATTATATTTGTCTTACCATTATTATTTCATACTTTTAATTAGTTAAAGTAACAATAAGTTTGCATTGTGATTATGTTGCTAAATAAAACCGTAGCACGTAGCAAAATGTAATTTAGTGAAAATATTCATATATTCATAATTTCCAATAACTATTAGCGGGAATCCAATGCAGTTTAATTACTATCGAATGAATAACAAAATACGTTGATACAATTAGGTGGTTACAAATTTACATATACCAATTACGGGTTTCACAGTTTTAGTTCTTTTTTTAATGATAAAGATAATCTACATTACTTTAACACTAATCCGCGATGTACTTCTGCTGGATGACAGGGCTCCTCTGCCTTAGGCAATCTCGTCTCTGTTGAAGAGTTAACGGAGACGAGGCGTTTCATGCATGCGGTTCGTCATACCATACATTGCTTATAATGTGTAGATTTTTGTTTGTATATATTTAGTTTGGCAAGGCCTACCGCTGCAATTTTTTTTTTAAGTAATATGTCGGAAAACGAACAGACGGATTACCTGATGGTAAGTAATCAGCGCCGCCCATGGACACCCGTTACGAAGAAAAAAAGAGTGCGTTGCCGACCTTTTAGGGATTAGGGTTTTGGAGATTAAGGTATTGGGGAGGGATCGGGGGAGGAGAAGGATTGGGCCTCTGGTAACCTCACTCACACGACGAAACAACGCTGTGGTTATTTCACGCCGTTTTCTGTGAAGCCACCATATCAGTCCGGTCGAGCTGACCCAGTCGTGCAGAAGCTTGGCTCTCCCACACTGCAATGAACGACGAAAGCACGATGCGCCGTACAACTACGCGACGCCTTTGCATTAACTACTGCACCGTACACTCATAATATCAAAGTCTAGAAACCTTATTAAAAAGAGCAAAAAATGAGAGAGAGTAAATATGTACATTTTTTAATTAACTTATTTTAGTATGCGTTTGAGTATTATTAAAAATGGTGCAGTTTCCATGACTTTGGGCTTTGAAAAAATTACACACTACTGTTAATTTTCTGGTAAATTTGGCACCTCTTGACCTCTTGACAGTGACAGATGTTATTTTGGTGTATGTCGTCATCACACGTCACTATTTAACTCCAACTGAATATAATATTAATTTGCAAAAAACACGCAATTTTATCAAAATTACACAAATTGCTGTTACACTAAAATATTGATGTAAACTAAGATATGTTTGCAGAATAGCCCGTGAATTTAGGACGATGCATCTGAATGCAAAGGCTTCTTGTAACAGGATGCGATATCCTTTGTATGAGAATATGAAATGCATTTTAGTTCTCGCGTTACCTACGTCCTCACTCTAATGAGGTCTCATGTAAATGGTACTTCATTTAAATGCGCACTCATGCAGTCTATAATCTGTTTATACTTAGCAATTAGTATCGCTCACGTTTCTACACTACTACGCAGTGAAATTGTAGTGTTTTGTTTTTGTTCGAATTGCGAAGTCTGTTTTGTTGTAGAATGAATAATGTTGACTGATTTCGTAAATTCATCACTTAAATGAAAATAAATTCGGTTACAAATTACAATTTAATTAAATTTCGAACTCCATATTACAAAAATGTTTCAATTATATAAAATTAAAAATAATTTAAGTAATTCCATCTTTCAAAATATATATAACTACTAACGAATTAAAAACGAAAATGGTTGATCAAACCAAAAGAATGCTTCCGCGATTCTACAAGTGATACAAACAATACAGGGTGTGTGTATTGGCAGAGTTTGTGTACATTACACAATGCGGCCGCGATCTGGCAATTAGTGGCAAACCTTTGTTTTAGTTGCACTAACAAAATAAACCTCCTATAGCTGTCAAATGAAAATTGTTGTTGGTTCTTATACAACACAATTTCACACTTATTCACTACACGAATAGATGCATTATTAATTTAGTAAACTCACTAATCGTGTTAGGCGTGACTTGTGATTAATTATTCTAATAGTTTTAATTAGAGGTCGGAGGCGTTTATTTATTGGAAATCGATGTTTTAATTGACGTTTTAGATTAATAGATAATTAATTGGTAATTAGGTATATTCATTCATATACAGACAGTTATAATAATTAGCCGATAAACGGTACGCTAGCTTATTTACTACTTCACTGGAATAATACAATAAACTGGCTTCAGCTTATCTTCAGTTCACAAACACATCCCCGTCATGTGAGATAAATGTACAAATAATTCAATATAGTTGCTCCATTTTCTCAAGTAATATCTACATATTATTGAAAGAAAAGAAAGAAAGAAAATACATTTATTTTTGCGCAAGCGCACACACATAAAACAAAAATACAAAAAAAGAAGAAAATAAAATAATACTAAAAATCTAAACTAAATGGCACAGATAACAAAAAAATGGTTTTTAAAAACAAATTATAATAACAAAAGAAAAAATAAACAAAAGGTTTTGTCTACAAAAAGTTTTGTCTATGGTCCACAGAGTATTTTAACAGTATGCGCGAGGTCGCGTGTATTTTTATTATCTGTGAACCATAAGGACAAGATAGTAACATTTGTGTTTACCAAACAATAACGAAAAACATATATTAATCCAATTAAATTGATAATTTCCTCCTTACGGTTGTTGTAACTAACAATACAATGTGGTACGAGCGCAAAAAATGGACATGCTCAGCATTTGCTGAGACCCCAACCACAAGGGACTGGTGCCACAGCGCTGATTTTCAGCATATCCTTGGGTGACGTGATGGCGTCCCACCATATCTATGAACATTTTGAAGCGAAAAGCAGCGTGAGTACAGGCTATTCAAATTAACATGTAATCGTGTAACAAAAGCGTGTGTCGTGTATGATTGTACTGTGTAGGTGTGTGTAGTAAATGTGTGTCTTGTTTCCAGCATGCAGCCAAGGGTTATTTGCAGAAACACGTGTGCTGTACTAACAGGGGGAAAGTATGTAATCGCGGACAATATATGTTGGATGCCTGTATCCCTTGCAGGAAGGCCGCGACCTTAAAGGTTAGAAATATATACTAATTTTTGTAATTTGCGTAGATAAATAGATTAATAAATAATGAAGAGAGTTAGGTTAGGTTGAGTTCTGTAGGTTTTGTAAATACTTTTTCATGTGTAGTAAAAAGTTACTTTTTGTTTTCAGGCCTCGCATTGGTGGTGGCAGGTTATTCCAACAGTGAGTCGCAGCATACCTGAAACTCCCCCTGAAGGCCGCAGTCCTGTGTTGAGGAATAGATAGTGGATTTGTTGCAGAGCGTATGTGGTTTTTACATGAATGTTGCCTCCAATTTAACTTCTCATACAGGTACCGTGGTTTTTGAGTAGTTATGACTCCAAACAACAGACCTGCCATGTGTAGTCGTCTTCTAGCCTCCATTTTTAATATATTGTTTTGATTTGCAAATGGAGTGACATGGCTTCTCCTTGGTATGTCAACACAGTACCTTATGCAAGCATTTTGTATACGCTGGATTAATGTATTTGTTCTTGCCAGCAAGCACGGGCCATAGACTGTGTCGCAGTAATTTAACTTTGACAGTACCAGGCTATCCACAAGCTGTTTGCGCAGAGCTACACTCAAGTGTTTTCTAAATGTGTAGAGCATTTTAAGTCTGTAAAAACAGTTCCTCATGCAATTTACAATGTGCTTCTCAAAGTGTAGCTCTGGATCCATAGTGAGACCTAAGTTGGTAGCTGTGTTCACCCTTTCAATGTTATCTCCCTTAATTGTTATAACTGGCCCAACTGACAGCATGGCACTCACTGCCCTCTTACTACCCAGAACCATGTATTTTGACTTAGCTGGGTTTAGTACCAGAGAGTTATGCTCTGCCCAAGTGGCAACCCTCTGCAGATCATGATTCATTTTTTGTGTAGCCTGTAGCACTTCCGCAGGCCTACAAGATATGTAAATTTGTATGTCGTCTGCATACATGTGATACTTGCAGTGTTTAAAAGTCTTTACGATATCCGCACTGTAAAGAATGTAGAGAAGTGGCCCCAAAATTGATCCCTGAGGTACTCCGCGCGAGACAGGAAGTGGGGAGGAGGACAAGATGGATCCATCCTGGTTACAGATTTCAACATATTGAGACCTATTTTCCAAGTAGCTACCAAACCACCTTACTGTTTCCGCTGCAAATCCATAATATGCCATTTTGGAAAGCAGTAATGCGGTGTTTATAGCATCGAAAGCCCGAGAAAAATCGAGCAAAGCCAGAATCGTCCCCTGCCCCCTGTCACGAGCCTCAAGAATGTTTCCTATAACATCAGCGAGTGCAGTTGCTGTCCCACGCCCCTTTCTGAACCCAGATTGCAAATCTGGCAGTATATTGTTATATTCCAGGTATTCGATAGTTTGAGTATACACTACCCTCTCCAGGACTTTTGACAAACAGGGCAGGATACTGATGGGGCGAAGATCCTTGCAGGAGTCTGGATTGCTGACTTTTGGTAAAGGCCGCACCACAGCACACTTCCATGCATCAGGGAATGTATTGGTCTCAATAGATGTGTTTACTATGGAAGTGATAGTCTGAAGCGTGCATGGATTGCTTCTTTTTGCATTAATAACAGAAGGTATATTAGAAAAATATATCATCAGTTTTCCTTTTTTTGGCATAAAAACAATTTCATAACTTCTGAAACAGTAGCTATTTGGAAGCTATTGCAGTACGCAGCTCCTTGGTCGGAGGGGGCTAACACCACTAATTTGGCTTTGTAGTCGAGTAGGTCACGTTTGAGGCAAAATTGTACGCCAAAAGCAGTTCGGGCCAACCTTTCTTCTTGCCAGGAACTTAACCGTTTCTCTGTAATTACAATAATTTATGCTAATGTCTTGTATTTTACCACTAACAATTACATAAGTAAACGTACACATTTTAAATCACGTCATGAAGTTCAAGTCAAATCTAATAAAAAATATCCCAGAAAGGAGGCGCAATTCACAAACTCAGTTCTGTAAAATAATTATTTCGAAGGAGTCAATAACGTATCTATGTACAAACGTCATGTTATGTTAAATACGGTAATTTCCACTAACGTTTTAACATAACTATAAGTGAAATTCAATACTTTTATCCAAACGTCAAAAACGATACTTTTCTATGAAATTTGTATGAAAATTGAATTATGACGTCATAACATTTTCGCGTCAAATAGCTTACTTATTTCTTAATAATTAGCTAAAAAAATCTAAAACTTTGTGTGTGGATCGATCGATTAATGTTATTTAATGAATAGTTATTTTTCAATATTTTATTGTATTGAAACGTCGAATTAATTTACTTTTGACCTAGGAAACTACCCAATTATTCTTAGTGGGGTTGCGTGTCAAAGGCAATAGAGTATCCTACGGCCCCGCGGCCTGGAGCAAGAGAAGGAACGGAGTAGCTTTAAGTCAGTAAGACTCGGACATTTCCTATCGCTCCACCCTGGTAAAAAAAAGTCGTTTGATAAATTACTATTTCCAAAAAAAAATCTTGAGAATCCTGTTACATGTTTCGCGGCTGATGTTTTTAAGACGTTTCAAGTAAGGCAGCCATGACTAATAAAACTCACCTTGATATAACAACGGCATAACTTTTCTGTACAGGTGCATTTTTCGCGCGGTTTTTTCACTCCTTGTGATTGCAAACACGTAACACGGTGGTGATGCACAGGACATATCCTTAGCTGACGAGCCCGTAGTAGTAAATACAAAGATAGCTCGTGCACCACATGTAACGGCCGCGATAGAAGCAGCCAGAGCTGCAGTGTAGGGTTGTAGAACTGGCAGTAATAGCTAAGACACAAAAGTTAAGAAACATAATTAATTCCTTCACATCTTTCCTTTTTCGGACGGTTAGGGAAATAGAATATGTATCGATTCCTATCAAAACCGGTGGAGGTGAATATCATCTCCAGATGTTACCCCGATACTGACCACTATCCTTAGATGTAAAGAGCCGACTATAAGGAGAAGAAGTCAATCAATAAAATATACAACAAGATAATGTATGAATATTCAACAGGATATGTAAGAATGTAATGTATGTATAAGCTTAACAAAGTTAACGGCGTGAAACACAGCGTTGGGTTTCGTCGTGTGAGTGAGGTTACCGGAGGCCCAATCCTTCCCCTCCCCCAATCCCTAAATCTCCAAATCCCTAATCCCTCAAAGGTCGGCAACGCACTCGTTACTTCTCCGTTGCGGGTGTCCATGGGCGGCGCTGATTGCTTACCATCAGGTAATCCGTATGCTCGTTTGCCGACCTATTACATAAAAAAAACAAAGAAAAATAAATAATGAATTCAAACAGTCAAATAAATTGCAAGTTCTTGATTGAATTCAGTGTTTAAGTTCTAAGGGAACCTAAGTCATGGTAATTTCGCTTAGTTGATACCTTGAAGTCTCGCCTTGTATACATCATCATCACAGCTATATATAATACAGTTTCATCCATTTTAAAAATAAGTTCAATACTACTTACTGGAGAACTTTTATCGAAATATTCTGTAGTTGGATTGGTATTTTTTTCTAAAACCTCTGTGGCTCTTACAAATGCTTGCATGCATTCTATTGGCAGTTCATCTCCACGGTACTTAATAATAATACCATCAAATTTATTTGTGATTAAATCACGCACTTGTATCAGTAAATTTCTGTTGTTATCTGGACATTTGTAATAATCTTCTGCTATGGATGGGTTCATATAGAATATAGGCTTACGAGCCTGTAATTAAGAAGTTATGAATTAATAACAATTCGAATCTAAAGTAGTAGAACTGTTTTTTATTTGACCTTGAAGCGTGAAGGCAAGTTTGATTCTGAATTTATTTACAAGCTACCGCAAAGTGCGTTACCGCAGGGCTTCCACCAAGGTATAGATAGCCCAGCAGTATTGTCTGCCGCGCAGATTCCAGGCAAGATGGCAGTGTCTTTATTCCTAGTCAATTTACAAGTACACACATATATAACAATTACGTAGGTGCCTGACAGGTCACTAAAGGTCTATCGCAGTGGTTGAGCGACTCTGACGCGCAGCAGTGCTGCCGCTGGTACCCAGACTGGAAACCACCGCGCCTTTTTAAAGGTTTAAGTCCATCATAGAGCACTATTGCCAGACCTCTAATATGTACTCCTTCGACACCTACATGAAATATGAAGGTACTGGCTAATATCTTCCCTGCCGTCACCAGCAACGTAAAGCATCTACCTATATATATAACCACAAATCACAGCGATACAGAAACCAAATTGGTATATTCCAAGTGCTAAACTTTAAACAATTTACAAGGAGTAATTAAACTTACTTCGTTAACAATATTTAGGAGGTAGGCTCTCAACTTGCGAGCCTTTGTTTTTGTTAGGCCCAAATTAACATTCAGGTTATATTGGTGTAACCCTTTTTACTTATTACAACTTCCTACGATAAATTTATGAATAATAACATAAAGCTAGTATAATGCTTCCCGTGCCCTTAAGTCTTAAACAAAGTTGTCTTAGCAATAAGCTATTTGTCACACCAAAACTGATAGAATAATCAATAAACATCTGTTTGTAACTCTGAGCTATCGAAAATAAAGTCGAAATTTAAAAATACAGTTTTATTATTTCCCTTGTAAACGCTGGACGTCCTTTCTTACAGTAGCACTTACCGTTGCCAAGGCAGTCTCTATTAAGTTACAAAGGAAAATAATACCAAAAAGACATAATACTCACATCTTTACAAAGTTTCAAAACATTGTAATATACGTTAAACACGTCACCCATGCTCGGACCCAAAACGAGACCGCTCGAAATCTAATAAAACGAAAACTCACATTGAACAATAAATTACGTAAAATATTAGCTTCATTTATAAAATTTAATGTCTTATTAACCTTAATTAATTCATGTAGATCCAAAATTCCAAGTAACGGAGGCCAGAATAAAATTGCCATAGATGATAATTTCTTATTTTGTTTCTTGAATTCATAGAGTTGGTTCGTCGACGTCACATCCTTTAAAATTATAATGTCGACCTGGAAGAAACTTTTTAATTAGTTATCGAAGAGACTTTGTCTTTCTTTCTTCCTGAGAAAATTTCTTCGAAACAGAAAAACAAAAGAATATTATTTTAAGTCTGACTAATTGTTGATGAGAAATAGAAAGTTGGGTCTTTCGAGGATGCAGTCAGTATTAAAGGCAAGAAAGGTGACTAAAATTATTATTTTTGTCTTAAATAAGTAGATCGATAATAACATTGTGGACTATGTAATTTATAAAGTAAGTAATGAAAAGAGGTTGCATTGCCTCTGGGATAAAAGCCTTTTTGGTATCAAAACACTCATTTATTTTTTAATTTTCAAAACTTAAGACTATTTAATAATCTTCAACTTACTCTTTCGTCAACATCAATAGGTTTAGTAGCAGAAATAGTCACTGATAATCCAATAGGACACTTATAAGCTGATGGAACATTTTCAGGTATTTTTTGAGCCAATTCCAAAGCACCTTTGATTTTTTGGAAATATTCAGTATCATGTAGTGTCATGTCGACGTTGATTATATTCACTCCAGCGTTAACTAGGGAGTAAATTTCATACCCATCATACGATTCGCTGTCTAAAAATAAAATAATATTTAATATAATTGAAATGAAGGAATATTTTTAATAATGAATAAATAAATAAAATTAATAAACAACTTACAAAGGAATTAAAAAAATCTTTCGTTAAAAAATGTTGTTTCATTCTAGAATTTTCTCAAATATAAACCAATATCTTATGTGAATGAATATCTTATGAACATGGTACGCAGTAAAAAACCAGCTATCGGGGTCGAGTCAGTAAGAATCTGACACTCCACTTCGTCACAACCAAGACAGTAGAAATCTAGAATGATTTTCCCCCTTAAAACAATGAAGCCATTCCACCAGCCTTACATTAAAATTATTTGAAACTTTAGAGTTAACGACTAAATAACAGTAAATGAACAAAAGCCGTCTATTGTGGTGTGGACAGGTTATGACAAGAAATGAAAGGCATATGACAACTAGAGATTGATGGACACGACGTTGGAAGTATGCGGGAGGTTAAAAAACATGTTACACGTCACACCACACTATCGAACTTGCCATTGCACGAAGATATAGTAGAATTGTATAGTATTAGTTATAAAAAAATGTTAAAAGCTGATCGATAATTTTATTTTATTGAAATATTCTATGAAACCTTTTTCGAAAAAATCTGAAGCTCCGAGTCTAAGTAATGTGGCATGGCCACCAACATTGACTGTTTAAGCTATGTTACAATAAGCACAAATTAACAAGACGATGAATAATTTATTATATCTGTTATTTTTAAACACTTACGGCAATCGTACATTATATTGATAGTTTCATAAACCATATCTTTATCAGTTTCCAGAGCAAAAAACTCCTGTAAATATAAAAAGAAAATTTTATTTTTTGACATGGCAACTGCGATGATATTTTATTAATACGTGGTACGAGTATCTTAAGTATTTTTATCTAAAATTAGCTTTTGGGATAACTTTTTCATGGAAAGAACAAACAAAAAAAAAATAATTCTTCTCGAGAATGGTGGCACACATTTATCGATTTTCCTTTGGTAGCCTCACATTGATCCTCCGGTAGACTCCTTTAAGTGTGGGAGAGCCAAGCTTCGGCACTAATAGGTAGGCTCGACCGGAGTTATACCAAGGCCTCACAGAATACCGACGATAATATCGACAAAAAATCGAAAATTAATTGTTTACGCCTTAAAATGAAAAACAAAACTGCAGACTTGAAATAACTACTGCGTTGGGTTTCGCCGTGTGAATGAGGCTAACGGAGGCCCAATCCTTCCCCTCCCCCGATCCCTCCCAATCCCTAAATCTCCAAAACCCTAATCCCTAAAAGATCGGCAACGCACTCGTTACTCCTCCGTTGCGTGTGTCCATGGACGGCGTTGATTACTTACCATCAGGTAATACGTAGGCTCGTTTGCCGACCTATTCCATAAAAAAAAGACTCACGGCTTCACTCACACGGTAAAATAATACGCTGTGTTTCACGCCAGTTTTCTGTGAAGTCGTGGTATCATTCCGCTGGAGCCGACCTATTCGTGCCGAGGCATGGCTGTACTACACAAGCTTGGCACAATATTGTCATCATCAATGTCAAAGGATTGACTCAAACGTTCACTTTGATTTTTGGTTATAATTGATTAGATTTTAACTGATTTGTGAATATTTAAGACAATACATATAGTTTGTACGTATAATACACGATAGATTTTACACATTTGCATGAAATGGAGTCACCATTTAAACTTGGGACTACGTTATCATTATAATAATGAAACAGCACTATAAATAATCTTATTTCATAGACTTACGCCTTTTATGCAGTTATAGTGAGTACAATTGACCCATCCGACCATTTTTAAATGTTTCTTGTATTTTTTTCACTTCTATACTATAGTAAGTATTATTTTGTCGTTAATGTTTTGACTAATATTTCATGACCATGTAGAATTAGTAATCTATCAGTTGAAATTAAAAAGATATCAGTGACATACCAATACGGTTAGGACATAGTGACAAGGTTTCACTTATGCTTGGGCTACACTAACGGGAAATGCCATTCATTATCGCGATCATGGTCGTTAATCGTAGGTGTAATTTGATCACTAAACAAATGATTGAAAGTCTATTTTTCATTGTTTAATATTATTAAGTATCGTGATTATTATTGGCATTTAATGTAAGTTTTGCCCAAGCATTACGCTTACATTATTAGAGGAAAAAGACTGCTTACCTAATAAATCCCTAGAGACGCTAACTAGCGGTTAGGAAATTCACAAATCTATCGCCGTCGCTTACAGAATTACCTTATATCGATACAGAATTTAGCTTAAGTTGTATTATTTTCCATGTTTATAATCTTGTGTTAATTTGTGGATAACGTTGTGGGCTGCATTGTTACATCAAGTTTTGTTTATAATGCCTGTGTACACTATTTATAATGTAGCTGTTTGTTGTCTCTACCCAATAAATAAAAAAAATATATATATTTTATTCTGTTACGTGTGAAGACCAAAAAATATATGTCACAAAGAGATGCTCAGTATAAGTAAAATATTTTTAATTTAAACACAGATTTTTCGTACCGATATTCATGAATGCGGGTACAATCCCAATCAAAATCTGACCACCGCATTAAATTTTCAGCGTCCAACCATAAGCGACACCTGGAATAAAATTACCGCGCATGCCAATGTGCCCTCATAACCAATTATGGTAGACCAATCCTCGGTAATTTCAAAGAAACGATATTTTATGAGTTAAAATGTGGCTACATCCATCGTGTACGGAGAGAGCACTTCAATTTATGCGCGTAATTAAGTAGAGTTTGCGATGGGGCCCGAGCCCGGCACTTCCCACCAGTAAATGGAATTTACGTACGCCTCCTTTCGAACGAACCTATCTTGAGTTTTTGGTTTAAAAATTAAAGGGAAGCGTTGTTTGATCACAATGAGTTATATTTCAAGTTGAGACAATTTATATCCCATTGACGACGTTTGATCGCTTTTCAGACTTCTGAGGGTTATAAACGAAGTAGCAAATTCGGTGTCAGAGTCAGTCCATTTCATAAAAACTAAGCTTATTATATATTTTTCACATGACACGCGCACCCACTTTCCCTTAATACACTCAATCAAACATAAACATATACCCTCACATACATACACAGATCCTTAACCTCATTAGACGCACGCACACACTAAACTGAATATTTTTCAGTTACAATTGTCTCATCTTTTTTTATTAATAATTTTAAAATTACATAAACAATGAGTAAAGTTAAGAAATGTTCCGTAATAATTTTTTCACGTCACTAAGTATTCTATGAATGATAATAATGTTTATATATTTTGTCAATAATTTTTATTGTTATCATTACGATTTTTTGCTTAATTAATCCACGTGAACTACTGATTTGGACAATTATATATAGTTGGTATGAAATAAGAAATGGCACTCAGACAAGTCTAGGACCTTTGACTAGTATAATATTTTGTAAAAGTCCAAAAGTATATTATTTTCTATTATATATTTTTTTCTTTTTGGTCTGAAGCCAGTAATTAAAATGGTTTATTTAAATTATTTATTTTTTATATATTGTTATTTTTTACGTATAATTTTAATATCGCTGTGGCTTGTGACTTGATTCCTAAAAGAGCTTTTATTCTGTTGCCGTGAGAGAAAAGGGTGGACCAAAGACGTTGAATGCGCTGTATTGCATTAAGTATTATTTAGAAAAATAATCTTTCTACGAACTTGAATTTTATTTTTTTATGCTTTTCCTCCTGTTATAAGCTTCCAGACAAGGACGAAAAATTCAATGATAATTCGCTCGGCCCTGTCCAAGTATTGTCAGCCTTCAGCCATCCAGTTGCCCAGCCACTGCGCCAACCGTCCAACGATCAATCAAAATGTCGACTGTCCGGTCAAAACTGACAAATCGAAAGGTTTGGTGTTTGTTGTATTTAGTTTTAATATTTGAATAATTATGTCATACCTACTGTAAACAGTGTTAAATGATTTCTATGCATTTTGTAAATTACGAATTTTATACAAAGATCAATTTATCATGTTTGTTTTGTGAGGGGAAAATCATCAAATGACTTCTACCGCTCAGGTGAGGCGAGGGGGAGTATGAGACTCTAACTGACTAAATACCGCCCCGTTTATTCTCCTGCTCTAGGCCGAGGCCGCTGAGCCTCACTGCGCTTACCATGCAACCCCGGCTAAACATTACAAGGCCCCATCGGTGGTGTTGCTTTTTTTACTATATTATCTCAAATTGCTTCATTGCACGCTCCAGCTGCCATAAGAACAGTGCAGCAAGTAAGAGAAGCTAACTAGGGAAGAACACCCGAAACGCCACGTTCCATGCGCGCCTTCAAGAAATATTAGACCACTACAGATAGGACCTACTAGAGCTGATTCCAGAGTCCAGGGATAGCGAGTGTAGGTCTCATAATAAAACAGGATAATAAAAGAGGTGGTTTTTAGTCAGCAAGAGTCTGAAACTCCTTCGCCACCCAGTGTGAGATATATCTCATTGAACGATTTTCCTTGGAGTCAATGATGATTTTCTTTCCTTCGAAAATAGGCCCCATTTACAAAAAAGAAACATATTTTACTTGAAATATAATTATCTAAATGAGCATTCAGTAGGGATTAATTTATGACCACTACTATTACTGAACATCACCCTTCACTTAACTGAGCATCTGAGATCATAGTTTCTATTACACTGAATCACCCAACAATTCAAACAAATTAATTTTAATTGAATAGTTCTGTTGCTTGTTAGTAAGATTATAATATAAATTATAACCTTCATTTTCTTAAGTACCTCTATTCTAAACGTCGCCGTTTGGAAACGTCGGGCAATCTCAACAAACGCCTAATAGGACCTTATTTGGTCCTGTTTAGGCCTATTTTTGCTTTTAGCAAAAATTCCCTTTTAGTGATGAAAAAAAGAAAATTGTTCCATCTTTCCCTTGGACCTTATCTTGAAAGTGTACTACAATTGAATTAGAGTTTTACTGAAAATCGGCCTTTTTTATTGTTAACGTAAGTGATCTTTGCATTATAAATGGTTGGTTTCCGTAAAGACTACAACATAATTCATTTCGATATAAAACTTATCTACACTGAGAATTTTCAAGTTGATTTTATTAATGAATTAAATATACCAAATCGTTTGGTATACCAAAATAATTCGATTGCGCGCTCAATAAAATAAAATTATATTGATCTAGGGCTACGTGGTCTACGGATCAAATACAAAGTATTACCCGAGTGTACTTCTTTACAAATACATTGTACAAAAAAAAAGATTGACAAACGGCAAAACAAATGCAATTAAAATCCACATTGCCAATGCTGCCTGACTTTTGAGCAATCGACCTCACAACAATAATAAGTTTAGTAATTTTATGTATTTGTAAAAGGTACTTCAGTGTTACTTTAATTTTAGTATTTTAATTTCAAGCATTTTCTATGAAAAGAAAAAATCTTTACAGACATAATATAATTATGAACAATTTGAAAAAAAACTTATTCGAACTGATTAACTAACACGGCTAAATAATTTTTTTTTTTTCAACTTGATTACAACAACAAACAAAGTAACCAGTTGTAATTTCTTCTAAACAAGCGACTGTATAGAAAAAAGACTAAAAGAATGACTTATCCGAGACCATTGTGACTCCGTCATGGCGTTAATATTACACACAAGAACCAGTACAGCAACTGTTATAATGAAGTGAAATATTCATCAGCCCCTGTCTGGAGACTGGCTACGTAGCTACCACCCGAAAACGTACCTTCCAACTGCCTTATTATGTTTCAGATAGAAATATACAATGAAAATTTTAAATATTACATAATAAAAATAGTAATTTCAATAAAAATATTATTTTTTGTTTACTTTTGTCCAGTGAAGTTTTTAAATTATTTTTATTTTACGAAACGATTTCTCCTTACCTTACCTTTTAATAGCACAAAAAATATTTCGAATTTTACTTCATTTACCCCTAGGCATATTATTGTGGGTTATATCAAAGATATTAAACAATTATTTATTTCTTTTTAATAATTTTAATGTGCCCCACACTGAGATTTTCTACTGTGTCGTGGGTGTAGTTACAATATATCATTTAACATACACATGACACCCAGATCCGGAACAACAATTTGAAGATCACACAAAGAGTTGTTCCGTACGGGAATCGAACCCGCGACACGTTGCACTGCAGCCAGCTGCCCAGCCACCGCACCAACCGTGCAATCATATTATACCCTAGATGGGTATGATGGATATGAATTAAATTATATGGATATTATCGATTATGGATACCCTATATGGTTTTGGATTTATTGATCGTTGAGTATAACTGTATAAGTCTCTCAGTGTCTTCCAGATAGCCTAATTGGAAACGACCAGCAACCAACCAAATTATTTTACGTCGATTTGGTGATCCATCAAACCAAAATCTCATTCGATAATGTTCAAAATGTATGCTACTGCACAATTTATTTAAGCGGTCCCTACCGGGCCCATACTGAGACTATTTCCTAAATGGACATATTATCTATTGCTAATAAAAAATTTGAATTTGAATGTTCTACGCTACATAAAACCGTTCCAAATTACACACGTTGCTTTATTAAAAAAGAAGCAATCTCCCTCAAATCAACAAACACTCATTTACAAAATCTATCGAGGACAAAGAGATGATGAGAAGATGCACAAACCTGATGAGACAATCACTTTACAATGCATAGTGCTTCTGGAAACGAGATTAGCTATCATAGTATCTGTGTATTACCAAACAAGAACACTGCTTCAATTTCGATCGTGTCTTCATTAGGCTTGACTAATTCGTCTATCCATAACAAAGAGAATTTCTAGCCAGTACTGGAGGTTATCCGTATACAAAGGTTTGTTCTGTTATTGATCGTCCACTGACGCAATCTTTGCACATAAAAAAGTCTGTTTTATTTTCAAGCGAATAAGTCTTTTTTTAAAATTGAGATCCATTAGTGCCTGTAGTTCAAAAAACAAATAAGAAGGAAGTGATTTTGTAATATCCTCAAAATTACGAACACATTTCCAGTGAGTAAACTGTTCGTTTTATTTAATTAAAAAACTAGCAATTATAGTAATGCATCAGTTTTTACGAAGTAAAACTAAAGTAAACAGAATAAGCCGACGAAAGTCTAGCGTCGTTGAATTTTTGAGGGCCCCGTGTGAGACCGGCGCATATTTTGGATGAAAATCTGCTGTGGTGTCGCTGTCGTATGAAAAAAGAAAAACTCATTTGCATACAGTTCGACATACGTCTGAAGCGACCTGTTTATCATGAGACGTCTAGAATTATGATTGCATTTAAAATGAGGAATGAAAAGTCGAGTGTTTTGTTATCTTTGCATTTGTTTAGCGGTAACATTCTCGTGTATGAAATGTTAATATTTGAAGACGTTGACTGCTTTAATTTATTAAGGGGAACAAGGGTCGAAGTTGATGTTTGTACAAGATTTTAATTTGAAATACGTATAGATAAGTATTGTGTAGTCATTTTAATAGCTTTAATTTAGATACAAAACTAACTTAAAACATAATTACAACTGAGATAGTTAACAATAGTTGAATCTTATAGTACAACCAGTTCTCTCTTAGGATTAATACCAACATAAGTTTACAGGAACGGACTGAAAATACAGCAGCAGAAATAGTCGACTTGCAGCAAAATTGCATTTCTAGTATTCATTGGTCTGTCGAAGCCAGTAAAATCGCAAGTTGGAATAAATCGTAGCGTTGCCTTAAAAGTGACAAAGATATATCTTTTTTTTTATTTCAACATAAGTCTTTGTCTATTTGAAATTCAAAGCTAAAATGAATAAGAAAGTCCTTTTTAATAGAATTATTTTTTTATAAGACGTCTGTAGTGTCTTATTAAATTATAGCAGTGTGAATGTTAATATAATTTTTTTATTCTCTCTATTTTTTTAAATATTTCATATTTTATTTTCTCTTCATATAACATGTGGGTTTTTTAAATGGAATTCATTTTAAAAACCCCGCAACGTTCGTACTTTATTTTGTAAAAAAGTAAAAAAGAAATTAAATATTTAAAAGCAAATATGACTTCAGACAAGAAATGATATGAAAAGGTAAAATATATTCATTCATTCCCTACAGACAGCAGATTATATTCATCGTCCCGTAAAAACGAACCGCAAAGTTCATTCCTCGTAACTTTTACCTTGCGTCAAGCTGTTACAAACTTTTAATCTCTTATGTTATCCAGTCAACAGCGTCTACTCCGCTAGTAATTGTATCACGTATAAGCACTTTACATTTTTTGATTACACACCCTGTTTGTACGTCTGCGCCAAAACGTGGTTTGTTGAGGAGATAATGTAATTAATGTTGCTTGGTACTTGTGTTTGTCAAGTGTTTTTTTTTTCTGTTTTGTTGCTCGAAGGTACCTACCAACTTTGAGTATTTGGATCCGATGTTTTGATTGACAATCGAGTGATGATAATTCAGTGACATTAAATTAATTGGTTCTCCTTCATAATTTACCTTATGATTATGTATTACTAAATATAGAAAACATCGTCTAGTCAAATATCTTAATTATTACGTCAATAATACTCTTTAAGCATACTAGCACCATAACGAACAAAAGAAAACAGGATTCTTATCCAAACCTAACAGAGGTAAGAGTCCCTACAAGATTACTTATTAAGTAGATTACCGGGCACGGCAAGTCAGCCCCGACTGCGGAACCCATTCAGGGTTCGTAGACGGGCGATGAATTTTTGAGAGGCCTTCACAACGTGTGTGAGACTGGCGACTGAAAGCTTTTTTTCAGAAAAGGAATCGGCGTCACAGATAATGAGTGAGACAGACTTCTACTTAGAAGAGTACGGTATATCTGTGGTACTGTAATGGAATGTTTTTGGCGTTACGCGATTATTTTGGGCCCGGCCTTTGTTTAAATTTTATTTGTGGTGCACTGTAGGAATGACGTGTAGACCACAAACGGAATTTGTACAAAGGGTTTGTATGGAAGTTGTTGTTTTTTTTCGGTTTTGCGGTGAAAAGACCTCTGTTTTATATACCAGCATAACTTTAATCTTGTAAAAATAATCCGACTGTTGGATGAGAAATATTGTTTTGTGCTATTGTTGTGTTTACTAACATTATCATATTTTAGGGGTTTTATTATTCTTCGGTCTTGTTGTTACAGATTATTTAAGCATGGTTTCCATTTTTAATTTCCTACGCGTCCAAAGCCGCTAACATTTATTTATTCATGACCTTTGCTCCTTATCTCTAATATTTGTTTTAGGTAACATTGAGATTTCAGTGTTCGTTCTCAACTACAGAACATGTTTTAATATTTGAAATAGCTCGTGTCACGTAGACTTATTAAATGCTATTGAAACTTTCAAGTTATTCGTGTTTTAATGTACAAAGTTTTTAATTTAGTGCTTTAGTGGCTAACATTTTTGTACAGTTATATTTCTTCACCTCGCATTTACTTTACGTAACTGATATAACTATGTTTTTTTTTTTAAAGATTGCCCCGCCCCCCTCTAGTTTTTGTAGTATTTATGGCTGCGTTGAAAAATATACAACTTCAACTTCGCATGATACCCAGACCAGAAACAGTGTACGGCGCGTAGTGTTCCGCGCGCGCCTCAAAGAGCCAATAGACCACCACAGACGGGGCCCCATAGGGCTGATGTTCAGCCGGGGTTGCGGGGTAAGCGCAATGAGGCACCGCGACCTCGGCCCAGAGCAGAAGAAGGAACAGGGGGGTTTTTAGTCACAGAGGTATGTTCCTGACACCAAACATATACCTATATTTTTCAGTCACGCTGTAATAACAACGGTAACACCCCTCTATGGTTAATGGCTAGAGAGACGCCAAGGCATCCTCATCTTCCACCTGAAGCAGGTATTTGCCAGGCGGAAGATACGGTGAAGCATGCCGTGGCGGTGTGTCCTGCTTGGGATAAGCATCGCAGTGTCCTCAGGAAAGTGATCAGCTCTCGCGATCGGCCTTAGTCAAGTCCATGGTGCGGAGCGAGACGAACTGGGAAGCGTCTCCTCCTATCTTCTATCTGCGAAACAGTGATACTCACGAAGAAGGCGGCGGAGCGTGTGACAGAGCTATCAACCTCACGCCCTAGCCACCGTAGAGATCTATGTAGATGCCGAAACAAACTCAGAGATCTGTTTAAGTCCAGACATTGTAGAAATAATATGGGTCTTTTTACACAATTTTAACATACTTACTTGAATTACTATATAACACTTACTTGTCTTACTTACACTCTGTTTTGGTATTGGTGTTCTGTTTTACTCCGTTACTGAGTTTGTTCAATAAAAAATTTTAATAATTATTATTTATTTAGGAACATAAAAATCGTTTTCATTGACACAGTAATGTAAATATTGCTAAAGGTAAAACTCATTTTTCATTTTACTTTGAGTTAAAATGTATCTGTTATTTTACCGCTTATATCAATAAATTTTATCATTATTTTTATTAATTTCTGTACTGACTGCTGGTAGGTTTCAATTAAAATATTTATAACTTTAACTGCCTCGTCGGTTTAATGGCCGTTACTGTAAGTCCCATATAATTTTTTTTTTCATTTTTATGGGTCATGTAATTGTATTGGTAAACTTTATGCCATAGGCATCCACCTGTCAACCTTAGGGTGATGCAGAGGTATGGTAGGTGCAATAAGCATTAAACTTGGAGACGAGAAATTGGGATTGCAAAATGCAATGTAAACAGTACAAGAATCTATATTTATTTAAATACAATAATATTTTTCACGGTTATAATAAAATAAAACAAAAACATTCAAAAACATACCTTATATCAAGTCACTTAGAATGATAGTCACAATCATAACAATAATATAAGAACAGACGCGTCAATAGAGAGTTCAGTTGACACTGCCTTTCTTTTCAATATAGTAATCCCTAAAACATACAAATGAATAAGTACTATCCTACATCAACAGAACGGACAGTGGTTGACATCTATTGACCCTTAGTCCATTTATCAAGCTGGCATCTGTAAGGACAATCGGGGCAAAAACAAAGGGACACTGCCAATCACATCACGCGTGCTAAATAATCATTAGAATTCGTAAGGACGCAAAATTAAGTAGATATGCCTGTATAGACAGTCGAAAATCATGATATAAGTAGGTGACTAATTGTGAAATTATAATAGGGATAACATAATACTTTTATTTT